AAATAATGAACAGCACAAAATATTTTTCCGATTTAGACAAGCAATACTATTCATAAATATTTGTTCGAAGTAGCATTTACAACTATTCTTAGGCGGTTATGAAGATATTTTTCCATAAGATATTTGCGATATTTATTTACAACATTTTTATTGTGCATTAGAGCAAATTAAATGTTAATATTAATGTTAATGTGTTTTCAGTTTCTTTTTAATACGCAGCAAATGTTGCCAAACAACCCTAACAGCTAAAAAAAAAAATTTCAGCAAAGTTTGTTTTTTTTTTGGACTCGCTACCATACGATGTTAGAATATTGGATTTGTTAGACACGTTGTAACAACTAGGAGCGTTCCTCAGAGATGGTTTGATTAACTCCAAGTCAATTCGCTCGTATCTCTCTTTCTTTTTATTTTATTCTATTTATTTATTTATTTTTCTCTGATTGACGGATTCATGGATGCAAATATTGAACCAAGTAGTTGAAGCTTGGCGCTTATGTTCTTCCATCATTTCTGATATTCCCATTCATTCGAGTCGAACAGGATGTACACAAAGATTACTTTCTTTTTCCCCTTTTGAGTAGGTATAGAGGACATTCCCCTTTTGGTTGCTCAAATAGAAAAAAAAAAAAAACAAAAAAGATCAAGTTTGAAGATGTACATATACAGCAACTAAAAAGCTGGCAAAAAGCCTATTTGGCACGCATTACCCATAAAAAAAATTAGTCCGAACTTTAATAATTCCTTCTAAATGTTAGTTGGGAAGATAGTTGTTATCGCGCAGCCGACGTATTTGCAAGTGAAAAAAAAGCTGTCCTGTTACTTGCTGTTGTTGAGTGTCCAAGAGTCGCCTTTCGGCTGATATCAATTTTGTGGTTGTCTAAAAATATATTTTCTTTGACAAGTGGGCCAATATCAGTTAGATATGCATTTATCACTTGGAAAAACTAGAATTCTTGTAAATTGTACGAAAGCAAAGATTTTTTCTTTTGATAAATATGGCCGTCAAAAAGGATTACATGATGATATTACGCAGCCGGTTGTTATAAGAATTTTTTGCTTTAATAATGCTTCAGTCGTGTCAATAACATTCAAATAAACCTTTAAAAGCGTTCAATTATTGGTAATCTTATAACAGGATTTTTATACTCACTGCCGCAGGATGATGGCATATTAAATGTGTTGTTATGCTTGTCACATCTATAGATAGACATAGGTATTTATTCGGCGTAAAGTTCATAAGGCGATTTATCAATTTCGCTCCCTACGTCTGTTCGTTTTTAAGTGTTTTTTGCCGTTGTTTGCCATTGTGCTGCTTGCTACAATCAAGTTAAGAATTTTAACAGTTAAAACAGCTAATAATTGGCCTTAGCTTATGTTGCCTTCCTCAAATCTATTTTAAATACTTTCAAGTAGCGTCGTCTAAATTTTTTCAATGTTAACGCGATTTATGTTATATAAGATTTTCCGAAAGAATACACCACTTTTTAACATCTCGGAATTAGATTTGAGTACAAAATAACAGAATATGAAAAAAAAGATTGTATTATACGTTTGATTATTTTCCCGAAATTATATTAATTTACTCTTACATCTTCTTACAGCATTTTTGGTGCAAAGGTATATTAAGTTCGTGAAGATGTATGTGGCACTCAGAAGGACGTTCATTATCTCGATCCATATAAGCTTGTCCGCCCTATATTCTTATTTTCAACATACCAGTCCTGATTATTAATATATTTCGATGAAATTTAGTAGAGCTGTTTGGTGTCAAGGATGATCGTCATCGATCGGATGATTTTTTCGATCACTTCCCATATAACGCCCTTTTTTCCAAAGTCACCACATAAATACTTGTAGGGTAGTGTACGATATTTAATGGTGATTCGAGGTCCACCATAGCGTTTCAAATTTTTATTAGATAACTACAAAAACCAATCCTTAAAGTTACAAATTTTCAGAAAATATGTTTGCTTAAAGTCGGTATCAATTTTTCTCTAATCGAGCTGATATATTCAACAGTCAAGCACTCTCCAAGGACTATTCGGGCTTCCCAGGTTTTCTATACCTTTAGTACTACCACTACTACTATCGAGCTGTGCGCCACTAAGGTCACTCATCTGTAAAGGAGTCTTCCGCTGCGCCTAACGATCGCCCGTCTAGGTCGAATGTACCCAAACGCCTTCCCCTTCCGGCTTGTCGCCAGGTTCCGACAAATAGAAGACATTCTCCGAACGGCTGGTCACAGCACCGTTCGAGTTTAAAAAATATTTTAAATTGAAACCGCTGAAGCATATAATCCTCTTCTTAGGAGGATATCAATAAAACACAATTTGTTTGATTCTGTAACTACAAACGGAACTGCAATGGCAATGTTCACTTTCTTACGAATGCGGAAGTTAAAAAATTGTTCACTATTGTAAAGCCATTGCTCTTAAATAGAATTACTATAATCAGTTACAAAAACCTGACGCTAACTACCAAAACATATATTGCATCTATTTTCTCGCATGCGATATATAATTATTGCAATTTTTCTTCATTTAAAATAATATTCTTTGCAATCACTGCTCAATTAAAAGATAAAAGTTAAATCTATCTCTCGCCTATTGGCAAACAAAACTGTTGGTTGTTTGAAATTTGTCGCAAAGTAAATATAAACCCCATCAGACGCTTGCTTTTACGCTAACGGCTTAAATTGTAATTATTCAACGCTCTCTAAATCATGAAGTTTGAGAAATTCTGTCATAACACAAATGTTACTTTACAAATAATTATTTTTCTTATGAGTTTCTCTTTCACAATAATATAACATACCTTAAGGCTGCTAAAAAATCGTAATGAATACAGGCGCAAGTTTGTTGCTTGAGTCTTTTATTAAAATTAAAGTGGAAAGAATAAAAAAATAACAACAACGAACATTTAAACGGTTTCGTTATCAGTCAGAATGTGTGGAAAGAGAACATAGCATCGCAATAAACATTGCATTCGAAATAAGAGGAATAGATTGAGTTTAATGTTTTTGGAAGATGTAAACAAAGGCTAATAGAAATGAAGCGTAAAAATTGGTTTCGTTTAGGAATGGATCTCTGTCTATAAATACGTTAATACGTTGACCAGGTCATTTTGCGAATTCGTTCCACGCTTCATTTACAATTTATAGACGAGTATTAATGTGCAATAAAAATAATATAAAAAATATCGAATTCCAATTTGACAGAAACATAGGAAATTCTTGCATACAGTAAAGGATTGGCATTCAGCCAAATCGATCGACGGAACCGACCAAAGTACAAGTAGCGCCGGTTTTTTTTTAGTTACTTATAAGGCGCAATAAATATGTAGATAAAAAGGTTGGAAATGGAAAACGCTAGGCCTACTTATTACTATAGAGCATTAAAGTTTCATTCTTTTATGAGAACTTTTGCAGGACCCAGAAGAAAGCTTTAGAGGCTATATAAAGTCTACATATTATCGAATAGTATTAAACCTTTATGGGTATAAAAGATTCGATTGCGACGGAATGTAGTTTTTTTACTTGTTATAATTAATTTAGTATCTTACGTATGTTAAGAAGGTACATAAAACCTGAACACATCGTGATGAAATTAGATTCTACTGCTAGTTTTAAACCAGCCCTTTAATATATATCGAAAAACTAGAGTAGTGTCATGTCCCTGAGAGTTCTCATAACTAGTTTTGTATATTTCATCCTTTCAAGGCTTGAACTGAAACTGTGACGGACAGTTAGTCCGTCAGTTAGCAATTATGTAGTTTTCTCCTTTTATGATTGAAGGATCAGTTTGTTTTATATGTGCTTTTACTTCCCGGTAAATCGCAACTTACCAAAGATATTTTAGTGAAAATACAAATCTCAAAAAGTGTATGCTGGCGTGGTGGACTATCTTCACTTCAGCAACTGATCGTTCTACGGGGATACAATTGTTGGTTGTGTATTCTGTCGTTGTCGTCGGTCAGTAGTCATAGAAGAAAACAGTGTTTATTCTTGTCAGAGTTATGTTCATATTGAATCAAGTTTAGCATTCCGAAGAAATACTCATAAGGAAACCACCCGCTTCAACGTAAGTTTTATTATAGAACAGTGTTGTTAAGTCCCATAATCTACACACAGAAAAAATGACTCGGCTTGGATTGCGGCTATTAGTCTTATTGGTATAATAACAGCACACCTTGTTACTTAATATTAACTCTCACCCGAATTTCAATTCTGACTTAAATTTTCATTCGTATTTTTATTTTTTTTTTGCTCGTCTTTCGAATATTGAACGCAGTTTAGCATAAGCGAACTTTTCCGTGTAGAAAAAATTTAAACCGAATTTTACACTCGAACGATCTACAGAAATTATACAGAGAAAACACAAATGTATTCTGCATGCATGAGAAGAATTATTTCACAGAAGCTAAGCTTCCTTGTGCTGAGGTAGTAAAGCCTTACGCTTCTTAATGTTTGGGATCGAATGGTACTGTGTAAAGCTGCATCAGGGATCAAAAATAGAATTTGGAAAGCATTATTATAAACCTATTATTATAGTGGCTGCACTAACTGTGTGATATTTTGTTGTTGTTGTTGTAGTATTACACTTGCGTCCGCTTATGGAGATCAAGCGTTCGCTTGCATTGGAGTCCTGGTCGAGGAAGGACGACCCGTTTTTAAAGAAAAAAATGGAGTATTTATTGCTTTTTATTTAAAAATTAAAATTTGACAAACGAATAAATGTTTCACTTTATGGCAATTTTGAGTTTTTACAAATTTTGAAAAGTTTTTGTTGCGTGCGTTCGTTTGCATTGGAGTTCTGGTCGAGGAAGGACGACTCGTTTTTAAAGAAAAAAATTGATTATTTATTGCTTTTTATTTAAAAATTAAAATTTCACAAACGAATAAATGTTTCACTTTATGGCAATTTTGAGTTTTTACAAATTTTGAAAAATTTTTGTTGCGTTCCTCTTGAGTTAATTGTTTTCTTTGTCCGCATGTGGTTCAGTTAACCCCAATAGCCCCCGCCAAGATTCCAGTTAGATTGAGGGCGACCACCCAAAGACCAGCCGAAGCTACCAGATCCAGCGTTGCTTGGAACCTGACCTTGGCTATTGTAATTGCTTTGTCCACTTAAGCCCACTAATCCGGTTGGACGTGCGTAATTGTCTTGATAAGTTCCTTGAACGCCGTAAGCACCTAGACCAAGATTTTGGCCACCGTAATATCCTTGTCCGCCATAAGTTCCTTGGTTGGTCTGACCTTGGCCGCTTTGTCCATAGCCACTTTGTCCATGACCGCTTTGTCCCTGACCAATTTGTCCGAAACCGCTTAATCCGTAGCCGGCAGAACCGCTCTGTAAACCAAAACCTCCTTGGCCTCCGTAGCCAGCTAAGCCACCGTGACTGCTTTGGCCACCGTAAACACCTTGCCCACCCAAGCCGCTGTTACTTCCAAAGCTGCCACTGCCGCTGCTATAGCCCGAACCACTGGCCCCGAGATAACCTTGGGCAAAAAAACGTGCCTTGCGTTCAGATTGATCAGACTTCGGCTCACCAACGTCCGCTACATCCTGTGGCTCATCCTTTTGCACAATCGTTTTACCATCGATAGCCACAACTACTAACAGCAAAAATGCAGTGTAAGAGATAAATATCGCACGCATTTTACGTTATATTTGCGTATGTTCTTTCGAATTAAAAAAAAAAAAATGTTGTTTGTATTCACTCCAAATTCGAACAGTTGACTGCGTTAACTGTCTTCGAACGGTAAGCTTTTATATAAACTGCTGTTTACAATATCATCAAAATTAAATGTTATTTTAAACAATTTTAACGTTTTTTTATTATTACGACTGCCTGACTATGTGCGCTCTTCGCATGTATCAAAGCAAAAAAAAAAAAAAAAAAAAACATAATAATAATAATAAGTATAATTATTCATGAGAGATCTGCATTAATCATAACAGCGGTCTTATACGTTGTACTTAAACCGATATACGAATGTCTGTCTACGTTAAGGTTAATCATTAAAGGCAAACAGTTCTTTCTTTCGTATCGATGTTAAAGATAATTTCTTACGAAAGCATTAAAACAACGCTTGTAAAGTTTGCCTGCTATTGACCAATTGAACGTTTATGTAATGTGCCATGGTAGGGTGAATACCCTGACAGAAGAGATTTCTTTAATACTTTCTTTATCGGAAAGCATTTCCAGACAATAGCTTTTTGACGTAATTAGTATCATCTGAAATTCCAGTTAATTGAAAAATTTCATGTCATAATTAAAGCGAAGCATCAATCATTAAAGCAGAAAAAGAATACGTTTTTACGCTTCGCTCGTAAATGATTGAAAAGTAAAATTTTGGCAACTTTTTTTCTTTGTTGGTTTTACTTTTGTAATTAAATTCATTTCACAGTTAAATAGCCATACGATGAAAACAGTTTTCGCAAGTAAAAACAGAACAAATAAGAAAATTATATTCAGATGCGGTCGAATCTTTTATACACTGCATCTTTTTCTGAAAAAGAAAAAATAAACAAAGAGAATTAAAATCACTATAGCAGGACACGCCCCATCATTAAACGCCATTACGCCACTTCGCTACATATAATGATGTACGACATGACGACTTTTCACAATAAGGATTTGTAGTAATTGAAAAAGTGTTCCGGTCTCAACGATTTTCAATAGCTGAAGTCCTTCCGCACTTTGACCTTCAAATGGTGTAGAACATAAGGAAATAAACTAGACCACTACTAACCAACATATGACGACATTTTATAATATTATTCGGGCGTGGACCATTTCACAAACCCGGAACACGAAAATGTAGACATGTCCAGATTGGATTTAGAATATAAGCATATACATACTTTATAAGTTCTTTGAAGTTTCTTTTTCGGTCTTGCAAACGATTCGACAACACGAATATGTTGTGAATAGTGGTTATAAAAGAACAAAGGAAACAATCTTTCTCCCGCTGAACTGAACTCAGCTTAACCTAAGTGCCATCAATTAGTTGATTAAAAAGTTTAACTGAAAAGCAATTAAGTTTTTTGTTTTGCTTTTATTTAACTATCATAAATCAGAGTCCGGAAAAAATTTGTAACGACTTTTGTTAACATTATCGGCAAATTACAGTTGTCCGTCCCTCATTGTGTAACACTCAGAAATCTTATACAGTTTATGTAATCGTGGTCGGTGGCTAAAAATTGCCCGCCCATTCCTAGACTGCAGCGAAGATGTTTACGAAAGCAATAAGCAAGCTTGGTCTATGTAGACCTACCGATCCTCTACAGGTCAATAACTATAACCGTAACTGCAACTGCCAATTAGGCGGATATTAACAAAAACGTTGTTGGTAGTAAAAAATGGTCACAACACAGGCGTAAACTTGCCTACAACAAATTAAAAACTGTAGCTGAAAACCCCTAAGAACTTCAAACTCAAAACTTAAAGAACTAAGCATTTTCTAGAGCCATGAAAAAGACGACGAGTAGTAAAAGTAGCCCCAATGAATTTATTCGCCCTTAGCTAGCAAAAATATTTCTAAATCTAAGGTATTAACTTGTAATGCTGGCTGTCAGGGATTTCCTTTGAAACTTGATGTAACTGTCACTCAATAAGTTCGTGGGTCAAAATTTTATAAATTTTAACGATCAGTTTACAAGTTACAGTTGTTCCAGTGACATTCAGATTTTTCCGATGTTTCCACTATTTCTTATGGATAATGGCGACGTCTGTATGCCTTCCTACGAACTTATTGGCTGGTGTTCATGTTAATACCAATTTACATTTAATCGCTTGCGCTCAATTGTTAACAGTTAGAATGTGGGCACAAAAATCTGAAATTACTTACCCCCGATCCAGTGTGAAAACTTGGCCCATAGAGGTCTAACAGATCGAAGAGAGATTAGAAATATTTAGGCTGAATTCGATACTCAACCTGACGTGTTGCAACAATTTTTGTATAGGGTTGTGTTTTTGTAAAGAGTTAGCAAAATACCGCCATTAACCAGGTTTTTATTTTGTTCTATACTTTGTAACAGTTTAGTAATAATGTTTAGCAAACGGTTTATTTCTAAAGGTCGATCCAATTCGTTTGTTTATTTACTTTAGCTTTAGTTCGTGTAGTTCATAAATGCGGCGATGGTTGACTAGGAAGCCGCGAATGGGTAGTAAAATTTCGTAGTAGATCTGAGTCCCGTTAACAATCAATAGATTGTTCATTAAATCATTTGCTTCGGTTAGTTATCCAAAATCGCTGAAGTGTTCATTAACCTTTGCCCCTTTCGCCATGAAGGCGCACCTATTTTATCTATTTGTTTAGTTTGCTGCATGCGTTTATTTGCAAGCGCCTGCGCAGAAACACAAATGAGGTAACAATTTTTGTTTTGTTCAAATTTTTGTGAGCTGAATACGCTGCACACCCACTTGTCCAAGTTCATTAACGAGTGACGTAGTGCAGTAATGGAAGCTGAAGACATACCTTGAGACAATTACAACTATCTTGCCTATTAACTAGCAAGTCTTGGATATTAATTTTGAGGGTTTTTTGAGGGCTTCAGTACCGTGGATAGGTGAATATGGATAAATTGACTGACAATCTTGCACCGTTAAAAGGAATTATGGTTTAAGGTATGTCCGGTATGAACGGTTAATAACGCAAGTCCTATTGGAATAACATAAGCGCCACGTTTTAAACTCCGTAATCAGTCTTTGCGTCACCAAACAGGTCCAAAAGCATGCAGACGCATGAAGGAGTACAACTAAGAGCCATATTCTAAGGAATACCACAGAGATATCCTAAGTCAATAGGAACTATTTTCTGTGTTCTTTCCGCGGTTTACCGACCTTGCTAAAACTGTTGTCGAACCGTTTTCTGATGACTACTCTTTCGGAATACCAAAGCTGATAAAAAATCACGACAATTATAATAAGAATACAAGCTGTTTTCTTTTGCGAGTAGTGAACGATCACAGCGCCCGAATGCACCTCTAAATCAGCATCCAATCTCACTTTGTTTGATTTAGATAAGCGACCTCTGAAGTCATCTGTTTAAATATTACAAAATGTATGACCAAATTAGTGAATTCGTATCCCCCGTGAAGAGTTGTTTTTTTTTTTTCATAAAGTGCTTTTTTATAAAAGTACAATTGTTGTGAGTTTAGTTGCTGCCAAATTTAATTAACAAGCAAAGTAAAAAATTATGTTTATATGCTTGCTTTTCCAACATAAATGAGGAGGGTCAGCATAAAGAAGTCCATCAATAAACAACTTTAACTTTGTGTTGTAAAGACCTTAACCCCGTGAAATATTTCATAAGGTTTTTTTAAAAGGCTTTTTGGAAAAAACCCTGAAATAATTTTTTGAGAAATAAATTTTGCCCAAAAAGGCGAAAAGAAAAACAAAACGTGAAAAATTTACATAAAATCAAATTCCTAATAACAAGTGAATTAACAAACATCATAAATACTCAAGAATTGAATACTAAAGTAAATATAGGAAAAAAAAAAGAAAAAAAACAATAACAACTTAACCTATCGTTCGCTACTCCCCACAACGCATTAAAAATGAAAACAAGAAAATTCTTTTGTCAAAAATGTACCGGGAATTATGACTTAAGATTTTTATGGCGTAAATTAAAGACAATATATTGTTATAAAATATTTATGATGGTGCACTCATCTCTTTCGAAGCAGCCACGTAGCGGTGAATTTCGATTTGACCTAGTAAATTAAAGTTTTAAAAAGGAAAAAAAAAAACAATGTCATGTTTATAATGATTTTAGTCAGTTTTAGTTTTTCTTATGCAAGAATAAAGAAAATTGTCTTTCTTTGGAGTCGAAAGGGATTTTAAGACATCCTGAGTCATCTTAACCTCGTGAACACATTTAGCTTTGAGGCGGCTAGCGATGTCACCCTCATTCTTTGTGAATTGGAGCGACTCTAAATGGCTGCTCTTCATTGCTTTAACAAGTTCTGATAATCATTGTACTCAAAGTCATAGGTCATTTTGTATTTCTTTACAAATTCTCATTAATCAACAAAATATTCGCATGAGTAGCCCAATGAGTAAGAATTGCGTCTACTAAGTCAATGTTCGCGGGATCAAATCTCAGTGTGGCAGGGTTCGCTTGACTGGGCACATTTCTTTCCTTGCTTCTTTCTGACCGCCGTAGCGTTACGCGAATATGGGACATCCCCTAATTGCTTAGCCATATCAAAACAAAAAAAAAAAAAAGCTCCCATACCTACAAGATATGTTACATTAGTGAAGAGCGTCTTTCCTTTATTATTTAATAATGAATAAAAGAAGAGACAATTTCAAGAGAATTTACTTAGTTCTACTTAGTTCGGAGTTAACCTGAGACTTTCCATCTTTTCTTTGACTTTTCCTACTAAAAAAAAAAAACAGTTAATAAAATTGAGTACAAAATTTTAAAAACCAATAATAAAAAAGCAAAAATTATAATTAAAAGTAAAATAAAAAAAAATAAGTAAAATAAACACTATATGAAAGCCCTTAATACATTTTCATTACCTTCGGATCCTTATAAAACAACGAAAAACAAAATAAGAAAATATTAAAAGAGTTAATTAATTAAAAAAAATTACAGAAAAACATTTTTAGAAAATATCCAAAAAGTAAATGAAAAATAAGATAAATAATAAATAAATATTAAATTAAATATTAAATATTAAATAAAAAGTAAAGCAAAAAATAAAATAAAATTTTAAAAAAATTTATTTAAAGCATCTTTGTTATGATAGAGTTTTTGTAACTTTATAACGATTTTTGACCCTAAAAAAAATTAAATAATAATTAATATATATAAAAAAATTAATAAAACACAAATATATTGAAAATAAACACTTTGCATTCGTATACAAAATCGAAGCAAGCTTTTTGTTTCGAATTTTCAGATATGAAAGCATTCGATTATTGTTCATATCACGCAAAAGATTTTCATTGCGTTTAAGATTTTTCTTTTTAATAAATAATATAAAATAAAATAACTTAAATGATAATAAAATAAAAAATATAATAATATAAAATATAAAAAAAATCTTTGTTATCATAGAGTCTTTATATCTTTATAACGATTTTTGCCTTTAGCAAAAATAAGAAAAATGAATTAAAAATACTTTAAAAAATATGAAAAAAAGAAAGTAAAAAAAATAAAAAAATAAAACATAAAAAAACTACTGTTGTCACACAATAAACACACATAAATAGATGTTGCCATTGTATTAGTTTACAGTCTAACAACTCAAAACACAACAAAAGTCAATTAATTTGGTGCTGGGGATAGAGTTGTGATGCAGTTGTCATGTAAACTTTGCATAGTTAGAGCTTGTGCTCGCTACCGCTTACTATCGACCGTCAAGCCTTCAATTTCACTGCCACTATATCTTGAATGTTAACTGGAAATAATATTCGATATTTTATGTGGATTCAAATCGTAATGTGAACGATTCGCAGGTGGTCTAAAATGAATCGGAAGCGAAACATTGCGATCAAAATGAGGTTGAGATGCATTCAAAGCGTGCAATTTTGATCTGAGATTTTCGATAACGAGGTACTGTGTCATCGAAATTGACACATTGTCGCCAGCCAATTGTGTGTGTGGGTGTGGTTTGCGCATTCGCTTTAAGTTGTTCGTTTGATTCAGATGTTTGTTTCACAATACCAAGGGAAGGGGTTATCAGTACTACCAGTTTTTGTGTTTGTAACAAGGTATCAGTTTCAGTTGTATTTTCAAGTCCCGACACTTTTTTGACATGGTGCGCAAAACATATGAAAAAGGTCTCAATAAAGATAGAAATCTTTGTAAAATGCGCGGCAACGAGATTTATTTGTCCTTCTGTCAATGTTCAATAAAAAACCAATAAATCAACTAACAAAACAAAACTAAAGATCAAGAGAAGCAAAATCAAAAAAAAAACAAAAAAACAAAAAAATTATAATAAAAGAAGAAAAGAAAAATACTTATTTGAGCAGAGCCAACGCATGGTATGTGTGTTAAACAAATTTTCATGTTTAACGGCGCTACCGGAAATGTGAAAACTTTATTAGCCATTCATTAAGAACAAACCTACAACAACCGATGTTCTTCTTCTTTTTATTTTTATTTAGTTTTTTTGTTTTTCCTTTTTTCTAAACAGATTACAATGCGCATGTGTACCGCTATATAGCTTCAACAATTTTAAATTACTCTTAAGTTAAGTGCGTTTGTTCGGAAAAATTTTTATATAAATACTAGAGCTGTGCGTTGATCTAACATTAGTTGATTGCAACGACTTAAAACATTTAAAACATTTAATCGTGTGAGGAAAGCCAACAGAATACTATTATTATTATTATTATTATTATTATAATTATAAAAAAAGTCTACGCTAGTCGAGCGTAAACAAATATTTTTTTCGATACGGAATAAGTTGATTTTGTCGCTATCGCGCTTCATATCATTTCAATACAATCGCCAACGGATTATTTGAAAAATACAAACCAACGAAACAATAAACAAAAAATTTTTTTTTTTTTTTTTGCTTTTGAATTATATGCGAAATTCTTAACGCGTCTTAAGTGGGAACATATGTCTACATGAGAATTTAGTGTCGTTCGTTGGATTATGGAGAAAATACAATTTCGGGTAAAATCAATTTTTTAATATAAATATAGGCAAACACATTCTATTACATGTTAAAAATATTTAAATATAACAAAATTTTGTCGTTAATTTCATCTTGAATTAAAGCATATTTCTTAATCGGTAGACATAATTCGGTAATGAAATTTGACCAAAACCTTTCGCGCCGCGAAAAGTGCAGTTCTTTTATTTACGTCAGGGTTGGTTTTGCTGCTTCATGAATAAGTCCAGGATTCCGAGGTTTAAAGTAAAAAATGTTCAAATAAATCTAAATGAAATTGAATTTTTCATATTCTAATTATGGTGAGAAGAAAAGTTTAAAAGGAAGTTGTGCTGTGTCTGAGAAACTTCATAGAGTTTATGTTCTATCACGCAACTCTTCCATTGACCTTTTGCTTTATTGAAGCAACTTGTGCTCGACGCCTACAATTTTGCAACTTTTAGTTACGGTGCATTTATAAATTGATGGCCTACTTCTGGCGTGAACTGTAATGTTTGCAAATACGATTAAATTTCACGTAAGATTACGAACTGCTTTTGGGGATCTCTTTGCTCAGAATTACTGAGAATGAATGAAAAGCTCTATCTTTCTTGACGCGTTTCGTAGCCAACGTATTAAGATTACGTCGCATGCGTTAGTTCTACTATTAAATGCTAACTTTGTGGCCAGAATATGTCGTAAATATAACACTGACACTGAGTGTTAGATAAGTTCAAATTTTCATAAATTTTTATTATTGTGTGGTGGAATCCCAAATCCCATTTTCTCCTCTTTGCTTGGCTGAGAAGTGTGTGCAATTTCGAATTGTGTTAGGAAACGTTACTGGGTTAGCGTTAGTGTACATACAGCGCGTCATAATAAAAGATAAAAAAAGGAATCTGCCATTTGAATTGTCACCACCAAGAAATTCAGCATCATTGTCTGAATCGGTTTAAGCACGTCTGTCCATCTGTACGTCTTAGATTATTCGATCTCTTATGTGCAATAGACAACAGTTTTCGTCACATTTTGGCAAAATCTGATACCCTGACTTGTTTTGGCTCCAAAAACGAGTACTTTTGAAAATGGATAAAAACCGTTTTTCATATATAAAAAAGTCATTTGTAAAAAAAAATTTGTGAGTTTTTAAGTTTCTTCTCAACCTACAACAGCAGAGTAAAGTAAATCCATATCAAAGTTACTGGTTGCTATCCATAATTGTACGCCATAGATCCAAATGGGTTGAAGTTGTCTGCAAGATAGAAAAGAAGATAGAGGTCGTGTGTCTCGTTCCATCGCTTCCAAGGAGCTAAATAGTTATCAACCTCCGATTTTTATTTTCAATGTGAACGAATGAATTTTAGAACAAAACAAGTTACCATTACGAAGTTAAAGCACTATAAGTTTCTCAAACATCGAATTTTTTTTTGTTTAGTAGATGCCTTGGACTTTCTAGAACTTTTGATTTGAAAGTTTGTGCTTTCTCCTGCACTATTAACAACTGCTGGAAATTACAGCCTAAAGTTTTACCTAACTTCTCTAGTACATCAAGATATTTACGTTCATTTAAACCCATTCCCCAACGAAAATATCTTAATATAGCTACATTTAGGCAATCCTTGGGTAGATACGAGGCTGAGCGCGATTTGAAACCTTTGAATAGTTTTTTCAGAACATTAAAAGTTTAGGATGATATTGTGGATTATTGCATGGTACGTTTTCGTGCCGCCTTCTTCACGAAACAAGCAAAGTGGAAAAACTGCCCTTCTCTCAAAGCAGATGCTTTCGAAAAAATAAAATTTTTTACATCTTCTCCCAAATAATTTAATATTTTTTCTTGGGAAGACAGCTGATTTTGGTATTGCGCAAACAAATGGTTGTGTTTATAATCTGAAAATGAACCGAAACGCAACCAAATGGTTGTTTATAAATTGAAAATGAACCAAGGCGCAACCAAATGGTTGTTTATAAACTGAATGTGAATGAATATGCAATCGACTGAGAATGTTGAGAGAACACGAACATGTTAGCTTGATTGGCTAGATATGAGGGGTGTATTTATTTCCTCAAAATGTTCAACATGTTTGCGACTTCCTCATAGATACAGATACAGATACCCAGATACTTTAGATAATTTTCTTTCATTATGAATGCCAAATTTTTTTTTATTTTTTTTTTTTATCTCATTCAGGATTCGACCATGAAGTGGTTATCAGAAAGTCGCAAGTTATTAAGAAGCAGAAAGCAGAGCAGAGCAGGGTTAATGTAGTTTTTTTTATAGATTTTTTAAAAACCTACTTAATATTAATCAGATATGATGAGATATAGAGATTTGTTCAATATATATCGTGACTTTATCATCTAGAGTGTACTAGGTCCTCACCTAGGATAGATTTCAGAGCAACAGCTAAATTTATCGCATGTCGGGAGGAAGCTCCCAATTGAAACGAGATCAATTAGTCATCCTCCAGCTGCCTCTTTGATAGCGTATAAATAAGAAATCATAGATTGCTCGCCAAGATAGAGCGCCTTGATAAGTTCCAATTGCGTTCATGTAAAATACATTCATTAGGAAACCCTTCCGGTTTATTCTGTCTAGCAGCTTCTCATCGAAAGACTCCTACGACTTTGAGCAAGTAAACTGCTTTGTTTATAAACTTATTTTATACCACTGAAACAGTCATACACAAATATTTTCTAATATTTTGTAGGTTATAACAGGCATTGTACTATCACTCATTATATGGGTGCAATTAAGTAATTGTCAGCAGAACGCACTGTTTACCCAACCTGCATTTCAACGACAATCAGCTTTTCAACGACAACAATTACGACAGCGACAACAACTACAACAACCGCAGCAGCAAATTTTCTCAAGTAACGGATTAAATGCTTTAAACCCCTTAACACCACTAAATAGCCTTTCGCCCGTTGCGAATCCTGTGTTATCGCAAGTAAGTAAAAAGGCCCTAAAACACTTCATCTAACTCTTAACGATTGGTTTTTTTGTTTTGTTTTAGAATCAATTTCGTAATTATAATCAAGTAAACCCACAAAATTTTATTCCTATTACCGCTTACCAAAATGAAATAAATTACGATGGAAGTTTCTCTTATGGCTACGCAGCTGGAGATGGTACAACTGCTCAGGCTCAAGGTTACGTAAAAAACCTGGGTTTAGGTGAAGCAGTAGAAGCACAAGTTGTGCAGGGCTCCTATTCGTATACATCGCCAGAAGGTACACCTATTACCGTGCGCTATATAGCTGACGAGAATGGTAAGCAGTAAACAATTTATATGAGTTTAATAGACTTAGCGACAACTTCGGTATGTAGGTTTTCGTGCGGAAGGTGCACATATACCAACGCCGCCACCTATACCTGATGCTATTGCTAAATCATTGCAATATATAGCTAGCGTGCAGCAGCCTTACCAACAAGAATTGGGTCCGAATATAAATCCCTATCAAACTCCCTTCAGACAATATCCGTCGAACCTAAGAGGAAGCGGCAACCAAGCATCATTGCAATTTCAACAACAGCAGCAACGTTTCCTGCAGCAACAGCAACAGAATACCGGACAGTATCAGGGAGAGAATCAATTCGGGGCACCAGGCTCTCCGATTAATTTTGGAACTAGTTCGACGAGATTCGGTTCGCAATACGATAATAGCTTACCGGGGGCGGGAACTTTCTTACCACAACAAAAAAATCTAACGCAACAGCAACATAAGCAACATTTGAATAAGCAACAGCACGATCAACAAAACAATGATCATGAACAACAACAGCAACAACAATTAGCCACACAAGAACTGCGTGCACGTTCCAATCAATTAATCAATCCCTACGGATTTAATCCATATCGTCGTTATAAAAAAGCTATTAAAAGTTCGAATGCCA